TAAATCAAAGTGCTTTCATATTGAGTACTAAAGCTCTTGTGAAGAAATCTCTGCACTTTCACACAGACTCCTCTGGGTGCCTAGCTGGCTATGCAGCCCCTCCAGGCTGCCTGAATGCTGTCTAAGCACTGACAGTCTTCAGTGTGTGAGATGAGATATTGAGAGTATGAGAGACTAAAGGCTTTCACAACTATTTGTAAGCACTAAGGTTCATAAACTGATTTAGCTTTATATTTGTGCTCTAGTCTAGCAGTTGCTTTATTAAATACACATGAACACATTTCCAACTGGTTTTCCACAGAAAATCAGCACCAGAAAACAGATTTTATTATCTCCCACGGCAGTATCTCTCACACCTATATTCCTGTGAAGGAATTTGTGGCATTTTCTGTTATGAACACTCAGGATGCAGTCAGAGAGCACAGATAATACAATCTAACAGCCAGCTGCTGCACAAAAAGACACTTCTGCTCCCCCTCATGTGCTATGTATTCCCATTGCATAGTCTTGTGTTAGCACCAACATCTGTCCGGATGTCTCAGGAGACAGCTCAAGATTCAAAATCAGCAGAAAAATAGCCCTGCAAAATGCTTGAAAACTTTCCTGACACTTGGTTTCCTGGATCCGGCCACTGCAGGGACAGACAAGTACCAATGACAGCACAGGGATGGGAGGGGGAGAGGAACTAGTCGAGACTGTAAAGCACAGTCACCCCCTTGGTGATAGCCAGTCACTAGGTCAGATGAGCTGTGCTCTCAAACCAGATGTGTACTTTATACTCCTCCCAACCAGGCACAGCTTCTTCTGCACCACAGCCTGAACCCACACTGCTGCATCCCTGGGGGAAGGAGAGGGTGCCAGCTCTATGTGAGCCCCTGCCTCATTTAAGATTTCACACTGAGCAGCAACATAGCACACCAGCTAGAAACTGGTATTCTAGCCCGTCATTCTGCTGTTTCTATTTTAGTATAAGAACTATCATACTGATTCTGTGGTTAAAAGATCATTTTAAAGATAATTTTCACTCTGGCACAGTCTAAAATTCAATAGTTTAACAAAACACCATGCACTGCTGGCACCAGTGCCTGCGTTCAGATGGCAATCAGTGGTGGAGAAATGGTGGTGGATAAAACTTCTCCCTTCTGGTTGTAGAGGTCTGAAACTACACCAGACTCTGAGCTTAGACAAAGGCTAGGCTCGTACAGAGAAGTGGGCCCATGATGTGACAAGGACTCCACCAGAACCTTTCTGCAAGCTGTTCTGCACCTAAGGGCACCTTCTCCAATGTCCAATTTTCAAGCAGGCATCTGCCCAGGAGTTACTGAATGCTCTTCTGCTTGTGCTCTGCAAATGTGAATGCAGTTTGCAGTGCTGTCACCTTCATGTCACAGAATGGAGATAATTGGGTACAAAGGAAGATGAAACACTGGGAGACTGGAAACGGAAGTCTGCTCCTAACTCTTGCATCACCCACAACTCACTTCAAATTTCCTTCCTTCAGTTTCTCCAAGCCAACAGTGCCCACTGCACCACTTTCACTTTCCCTACATGCTTCACGCATCAGGCTTTATAAAACACACCAAGACACACAGGGAGCAGCGCCATGGCAGGACTGGCCATAGCTACAGAATGGAGAAGAGCCAGGCAAGCACCACTGTACGGGGAGGAGACAAAGTCCTCGGAGTCCTGGGGGTAAATCTGTACCTGAGCAGAGGCACTCAGAGCGCTGTGTCTTGCCAAAGGCGGGTCACACAGGTCAGTGATGCACAGTGCAACAGGGAGCCGTGTGCTGAGCTCATGCTCCTGGCACAGCAATGTGGCGTTCTGGATATATTCCTTGCATTACAAACATCACTTCTGCCAGTCCGTGCCTGCGAGCCATTCTTCAGCCAAGTGTCCTCCATGCAAGTGTTGAGGGCCGTTGAATTTGAGAAAGGAAAAGAAAAACACAAAAAATGACCTTTTTCCTGCCTCTAACTTTTTACACAATGGGAATCTTAATGGTAAAAGCTGAAGCAATGCATTCACACAGAAATACAAACGCCATGCATCAGCACATTTTCACAGTTTTACATAAAAATAAAACTAGAGGTGGGAGGTAAATCCAAGCATAACTGCATAACTAATGCTTCCTTTAAAGCACCAAGACATGCCTTTAAATCGGGATCTAAGCCTTCTGAGGCATAAAACGTTGCTGCTGTTTTCCATGATTTCTGCTGAGTCTGTTTCAGATTTAACAGCTGAAATGTTACTTGGTGCCCTGCTGCTGACAGGCATTAAGTTTTCAATCCAGAGCTGGGCATTCCAGCCTTACAGTATTGTGTTTGCAAGAGACGAGTGACACAGATGCAAAAAGGCATCAGGTTCACATTCTCCAGCCTGATAATGGGACTATCTGTAATAATACAATGAAAATATTTTACCACTTGCTGAAATTCAAGAAATGATCGGCACAGAATCAGGCACAGCACTGTGCTTAGTACATTATCTACCACAAAAGCTGAGGGACACAAACTGTCTGCTTAGTCGAATGGTATTACCAGTGCTGAGCCTGCAAGTCCCAGCATGGGGCAGTGCTGGAGGTATGCTGGCTTCCCAGGAAATAAAGGAGCACAAACACAAGGGAATGCGGCCTTTGACAACAGGAATGTCAAACACTCTTCCACACCCAGCTGTTCCCTGTCACACCTTCCCCATGACCTTCCATCAGCTGAAGGGGACAGTGGGAAGGGAGTACCCAGGAGGCACAGAAAAATGAGATTTGCTACCAAATTTGCTCCCTGCTTCAGTAATGATTCCTATCACAAGTGGAAAGTGTCACTGATCACGTGACATTATTGGTGTTACCAAATGAATTGTGATGCTTGCAGCTTTTGGCTCTCCAGGGCCTGCTCTGTGCAGGCTCAAATCCTCTAAGTACACAGGTAGCAAAAATACAAGGACATCAGGTGACGCATAAAAGGAGGATTGTAACACATTTCCCAAAGGCAGAATGCCTGACTACAGTGACTCAGTTACTCACAGCTACATAACACCTCATGAAGACATCGTGTATTTAACCTCTTTCTGCAACATCAATGCACCTTGCCAATTTATCAAACAACCTGAGAAATACCGAAGGAAAACACTAAGTAACAGCATTGTCATGGACATAAGTTGAGACTGTCAACCTCCAAAGGGTGGAAAAACTTTTAATTTATATGCTAATACGCACATATATAGTTATTTCAAGTGAAAATATGACATACATAAATTATACTAAATAACTCCAGAATATAAACACGCCTACTTTTATAGAATTGTAATACAAACCAATACATATTTGATGGGTAATTCTCATTTGGGCTCACACTTTACCAGTAGGAACTTCTATCTCCTTTAGATGGCTGATGAATGAAGTAATTGGAAACAGTGTTTCATGTAATTATTTATGAGTCATGACAGGCTGAGGATGTTTTTCCAAATGTCCTGCCTTAAAGCTTTTGACGTGATTTGAAGCCAGTGAACTTTTTAAACACCCATGTTTTTTTCCAGTTAAAGGTCACTACAGTACCCAGAGTGAGAGGTAACAATCTGCAGACACCAGCTGTGAAGTTTGTTTTCCAGCATATATTCTCAAGGCTTCAACCTAGTCAGAAAAGCAGCTAGGAAGCTCAGGCCAACGCATCCGGACATCCTAGACAGAGCGGTGTTTCAAGACTTACTCATTTAACCACACAGACCCAAGATGAAAGCTCAATGACTTCCTTGCACCCTGTGCAATGACAGGGTAAGTTCACAGCCCTTGCTGGGGGGTGGGAGGCAGTGCCTCTGTCCCTGCAGTCCATGCTGGGAATGAATGTCACCTTTCCTCAAGGGCTGGCACCCAATACGGGAAGGAGCCAAGGGTTCCCAGAGGAGCTATGCTGGTCTCAATCACAGAATCGTCAGGGTTGGAAGGGACCTCTAAGAGATCATCCAATCCAACCCGCGGCCAAGGCAGGGTGACCTAGAGGAGGTGACAGAGGAACACATCCAGGAGGTGAATGTCTCCTGAGAGGAGACTCCACACCCTTCCCAGGCAACCTCTTCCAGTGCTCTGCCATCCTCAACATAAAGCAGTTCTTCACACTAAGGTGGAATTTCTCGTGATTTAGCTTATGGCCATTACTCCTTGCCCTCTTGCTGGGCACTATGAAAAAGAGCCCAGAACTCTCTTGGCACCTGCCTTGGAGACATTTATGTAAATTTATGAGACCACCCAGTCTGTGTCTTTAGATTGAACAGGCCCAGCTCCTGCAGCCCCTCCTGTCCTCATAAAGAGATGCTCCAGTCCCTTCATCATCTTTGCGCCCCCCCCCCCCCCCACTGCATCTTCTCCAGCAGCTCGCCCTTCTTGTCCTAATAAACCCAGACCCGGACACAGCACTCCACACGTGGCCTCACTAGGGCTGAGCGGAGGGGCAGGATCACCTCCCTCGCTCTGCCGGGCACACTGTTCCCGACACGCCCCGTGTCCCTCCCGGCCGGTGCGCACCGCGTCCCTGCCCCTCCCGGACCCAGGCGCTGCCCGCACGCGGAAGGGCGGGGCGGCAGGGGTCGGCGCGAGCCCGGCCCCCGAGGGCGCACGCGCCGTCCCGCCCGGCTCGGCCAATCCGCGGCCGCTTCGCCGCCGCCCTCCCCGCGCCCGGCGCGCGCGTCCTCACGCGCCTCAACGTCAGAGCCTTTCGCCCCTTTCTGGAGACGCCCCCGAGCGGTCGGCGGCGCTCATTGGCCGCGGCGTGGCAGCGCGTGCGCCGTCAGGGGCGCGGCCCCGCCCCGTCTCTCCTCAGCCCCTCGCTCCCTGCGGGCCGCGTCAGGCGTGGGGTGCGCGGGCCGCCGGGCGGGCCCGGGCAGGAGCCGCCGCCGCAGTAGCAGCAGCCGTAGCCGGGCGGCCGCGCTCGCCGAGCAGCGGGAGGGCCGCGCCGCTCACCTCTTAGCCCGGGCCGCCGCTGCCCTCCTGTCCCCGCCCGGCCGCCGCCATGGCGGAGACCGAGGAGCGGAGCCTGGACGACTTCTTCGCCAAGCGGGACAAGAAGAAGCGGAAGGAGAAGAGCAGCCGAAGCGCCGCCGCCGCTGCCGCCTCTAGCGCTTCCAACGCCGGCTCCAGCGCGGCGGGCGCGGCCGCGGGGACCCCGCGACCGACTGAGGGCGGCGGCTCCGGGGATGCGGCGCCCGGGGCCGTGCGGGGCTGGCGGCGCTCCCGGCCCCGCCCCGGGCCCGCCGGGCGGGCGCTGCCGCCTCTTCTGTCGCTGCTGCGGGGTGGGGGGAGCCTTCCTCGGCAGTCCTTGCCCTGGGGGAGGCGAGAAAGCTGGGCCCCTTCCCGCTCTGCAGCTGCGGCTCAGCCCGGCGCTCCCTCCCAGGTTTCTGGTGTTGCGGCCGGAACCGGAGGTTTGCGTCAGGTGCCACCTGGGGCTGTGCAGCGTGGCGTGTGGACCTTGGCGATAAGATTTCCCCAGAGTCCGCCGAGCTCTCTGCCTCGTTGCCAGGCAGGATTTTGCTGCCAATAGGTTTTCTTTTTTGGTTTTTCTTTTTTTTGGTTTTTTTTTTTGGTAGCGTATTATAGTGAAATGATGAGAATTCAGGAGAAGCTTACATGTCCGTAGTTGAGTTAGTAGCTCTGTTTCTTCTTCCGCCCTTCTTCTCCCTGTCAGCAATATCAGCACTGAAGTAATGAAATTTAACCCAAAAGTTTAATTTAAACCAAATGTTCTCTATGAGAGCTCTGATGCTGTATATTTTTAAAGGAATTTTGAGAGATACTCTACTGTTTCCTGATGGTTTTTTAATTGTGGAGCTTGACACGTGCAATACATTTGTTATATATTTGTCTGCTGTAGACCGGACAAATAGGACCTGAAGAATTACTTGTGCCTTTTATCTCTATTTCTAGTTTGTTTTTTTGTCTCTTGGTATTGTTTTCCTTTGGAGGCTTCCATACGTAGTAATCTGAGGATGTGTTCCCTGTCTTACTGCTACGAATTGAATCTTTATCCCTATAACATTATACTTTCAGAGTATAAAAAGATGGCTTGTGAAAGGGTTTTTGGAAGTTAGATACCTGCTTCTTTGATAGAGCATCAGTGATTTAAGGATATTGTCTTCTTGTGCTAGATTGATACAAGAGCTCTAATGCTGTATATTTCAAAATTAATTTTAAGAAATACTCTCCTGTTTCCTATTGTTGTTTCACCTGGGGAGCTTGACACGTGCAGTAGCTTTCTAAGTAGATCAAGGTCAGTGAGTGCTAATCTTTCAGCTGTTCTTCTGCTCCCTCGCTTGCAAAATATCTGGCTTTGACTGAAGCTAGTACTTGGGTTAGAAACAAAAGTCATTAAATGTGAAAGGTATGTTAGCTTGGAAACTAATGTTTCCATGGAGATGGGGATTTAAGAAATCTCAAAGATTTTAGAACTGTAGACTGCTGCTCTTCCAGAAGACTGAATCTTCAGCAGACAGTGCAGTTAACATGAGGTCGCTTTCTACTTCTGCTGTTACTCTAAAGCAGGTCAAAGTTTTTCTGGTGGAGATTGACTGTGTAGGAGATCCCACCACAGGGCTCTAAAAGCAGCTTTATTCTCAGCTGTTCAGTGGAAAGGGAGCTGCACCTTTGGCAGATCTTGCTCATGAGGACCTCCTAATTGGAGGAATATAACTGCATTTCACATAGAGTGTAAGAATTAGGTAAATTACTAATTAGGCTGTGTCTTAAAGCTGGGACTGGGAACATGGGAGGACTGCTTTTCTGTTCTGGTCCATTTTTGGTCTACCTTAATAATCCTAGAATCTCCTGGTGACACAGTAGGACAAAATTACCTCCACTTAGGTGAGTCCCTCTTTCCCCAAACAGATTCCCATTTTAAAACCCTCAAGTGGTTCTCTTGAAAGATACACATATTTTGTGTACGAAGATTGCTGTGGTCTTGAAGCTGACCTTCCTACTGTTACGAAAACACTGCTTAGGAAACAAGGCTGTAAATGTGGTTGTGAACGTGAAAAAGTCAAATGTACCGTTATTAATCTTTGTCATAAATCCACTGTAAGCTATTCCAAATGTTCTTTTCTGTTTGGCTCATGATACAGGTGATGGGAAAGTGAATTTAAAGCTTTGTGTGCATTCAATCTGTTGTAAAAGCCTACTGTTAGTGAAAGGGAGAGGTCTTGCTCTTGTATTGCCCTGGTCATGACTGCACGGTCGTGTTCCCTACTTTGTTGTTCCTTGATTTCCTGATGTGTTTTTGCTGAGGTGATGTGGTGTTCTTTGCTTGAATGATTTTTTGCTGGGGCATTTCTTAGCTGTTCTAGTGAGTTAAAGTCAGCTCTCAGGTGCATCCCCGGTGACACACAGTAGTTCAGGGGATGAGGGCGTGCAGTCCTTTACCCTCTTGGCAGCAAGTCACACATTTTGGTTTCTCCTGGAACTGTACCTTCACCCTCAGGTTTTTTCTTTTAGTATTATCTCAGTTATGTTCTTCTTTTCTACTTTGGTTGCAGAGAAAGTGACAACTTCTATTTTTCTCTTCTTACAGGAAGAGGATGATTGGAAGGAGTTTGAACAAAAGGAAGAAATTGATTATAGTGGTCTTAGAGTTCAGTCCATGCAAATAAGGTACTACTTTTTCTTTTTTTTTTTTTTTTTTTTCAGTATAATCCTTACCAATGTCTAAAAAGGATGGTTTTTTTTCAACTGAGCTGCTTTCATGGAGTCCAGTTAAAAAGAGGTTTGATATGTTTCTGATAGTACACAAGTTTGCTACTGGGTAATTTAACTTTGACTAGTCTCTGCCAGTGTTCTCTATTTTCTGAATCTGTGTTCATACTCAGCAAATCTGTCTATTTTGTTTGAGACTCAGGATTTTTTATTAAAAATGCTTAACATTCTGCATAAAGGTAGTCAAGTAGGAATTTCTCAGAGTAGTGCAGGATAGTAATTCACACTGAATCATTTGACTGCTGTAAGGGTATCTGACTCAATCTACTCAGAATCTTCAGTTGGGGAGCAAATTCCTGAACCATTGCACTTGAATTGCAAAAAAACAAAAATACAGTTGGTAAAAATAGTGTCCCACAATAAGATCCCACAGGATTTATGAGTCTAATCCATGATTCCTTGTTTGTTTTTTTGCATTAGACTTTTCCTGTTGTCTGGTGGAAAGTAAGTCTACTTATGTCTGTCCTGGTTAAAAAAAAAACTTCATCAGGTCAGAAAAAGGGTTTTTAGGACCTCAGTCATAGACTGAGAATGTCAGATAATCCTCATTGTCCAGGTGTTGATGTTCAAAATAATGCCATCTTAAAATCAGCCAACCTGTAACCATTCAATTAGTGGATTCAAGGGAAGAGTGGAGAAGTAAATGGAAGAAAAACCCACTAGAGGTTATAAATTCTCTTTGATGATACAGAGTGTCTGGTGGGGGTGGGATGCTCCCTGTGCTTGCTCTGTTGTAGTTAAGTCTGTAGATGATGCTTCTGACTATCATTTAAAATAAAGTGTTTAGGCCCTTGGGCCACCTTACTATGGTGTTGCTATGCTTGGATGAACAGTGAAAGGCCATTTACAGGCATTTTTTTTCTGTTCTCTGATCATTACTTACACAGAAAGCTTACACAGATCATGATTAGTAGGATTTGGTGTATTATAAACTTCTGAATTCACATGCTGCTGTTGAGATCAGTGTCTTGATTCTTTTCAACAGCCTCACCCTCCCTCCACAGCTGTCCTACTTTACCACACAGCTTTCTGTAGTGGCTTTGGCCAGCAAATTATTTTGTGTCTGACTACATCTGTGAAAAATAAAATAGTCTAAATAAAATATAGCCGAGCTTTTGCATTGGGTCTGTCTTTGAAAAAATTACGTTTTTCTGTCTTGTGCGCCTTTTTTTTTTTTTTTTTTTTTTTTTTTTTTTTGCCTGCTTTAAGAAAAGACATCTGAGTTTATTTGTGGATTGTATATTACCCAGACATATAAAGAGTGTTTCTTAGGTGGTTGTGGTTATAGGAAAAGTGAGCTCAGGACTTGCTTTCTTTCAGCACTACTCCACTATTTCTTCCTCTTGACTAAAGCATTTTATGGAAGCTGGACTTGTAGACCTTTCCTGCTTTATCTTGTCATCCCTTCCAAATGCATCACTGTGTTAGTAAGAAAAAAGCCTTTCTGCTCAAAATAAAATGCCAATTTCTTTGATCACTTTGTTCAAGTTGAATTTTTTTATTATTATTATTCCTTTAGGAGCTTTTTTTCTTTTCAGTTGCCAAGTTATATAGCAGCATGCCAGAAATTGTTCAGATGGAATAGCTAGTACAGTGATTACAAGACTAATGCAGTCTAGTTTAATTTAATATCTTCAGCATGGCAGCCATGAAATCTTGTCTTACAGAAATTGCGTAACCTCTGGAAAATCTTAAACCTCTGTTTGTAGGGTGCTACTGATTGTTTTTCTCTTACAGTGAAAAAGAAGATGATGAAAGTGAAAAAAGAGAAGAACCTGGTGACAGTTGGGAAGAGACTGGTAGTGGTGGTAGTGTAGACAGATCATCTGGTCCTTGGAACAAGTCAGCTCCTGCACCAGCCCCTGTCGTTGAACCAATTGGTAAATTAAACTCAGACTTACTGTTTCGGGTTTTTTTTTCCAATCAGAAGTGCATCAGGTTGAATTAAGCTGCTCAGTGGGTAGAGCTCAAGTAGCAGCTCCTGTTCAGGCACCCTTTAATGAGCTAATGGCTGTTTTGGCATGCCAGCCATCAAGGAAATCTTTGTGTCCAGGGATCTGAGAAACAGAATTTAATTTAAAGTATCTGTCAGATACTTTAAAACACATATGGAGGGGTTGTTTTATTTCCAAATTCAAAAGGGGGGGAAGCAGTTTGGCTTTGCAGAACATCCCTCTGTTTTGCAGTCTGCAAAATACCTGTTGGATGCATTTCTGTTGATCTAAAAATGCTGCTTTACCACTTCAGTGGATGCTCAGCCAGTATCTGATCTATTGTGGCCATTAGTAGCCAGCTTTTCAAATCAGTTCTTAAAATGTTGAGAACATGACAGAATATACTTTTCCACTGAGAAATTAATTGAAAAATGGCCTATGCTCTTTCTTGTTTGTAAAGGAGGTAAACCTAATTAGGGTTATTTCATCTTAGATTTTTACCTTAAGTGCAAACTGTTTGGGCAGTCCCTTCTGCATCTGGAGAGGTGTTTTAAATAAGATTTGGCATCTGTATAATTATGTGTTTAGATCTGTTTTAAATGTGTTTAAATTGTTGCTAATAAATCGCAAACGAGAAACACGAAGTCCTCGTTAGTAGTTTGGATTCCCTAAACGTGGGGAGACAGTACTCCGGAGCCCTGTTTCAATTTGACTGAGTGTAGGTTAAGTTAGGTGACGCCTCATTTCCTGCCTTGTCTAAAACTTGCTTCCAAAACTTAAAAGGTGGAAAAACATACTTGTAAAGTTCTTCTCATTTCTTCTTTGTGGAGTTTTGTTTGTGTGTGTTGGTTGTTTTGGGTTCTTTTCAGCTATGAATGCAGACTCGTTCTCATGTGTGAATCTTGTTGTTTTTCCTAGTTACAGAAACTGCGGAACCAGTGCAGACGGGTGGCGTGTACCGGCCGCCAGGTGCCAGGGAAGGCGGGCGGCCACGGAGAGCGCAGCAAGGACCACCAGAGATCTACAGTGACACGCAGTTCCCCTCACTGCAGTCCACCGCCAAGCTCGTAGACAGCCGAAAGTAAGTGCGTTCCACTGATTCCCCAAGAGACTTCTAGCTGCCTCCTCTAAGTTCTTATTTTGTCCTAGTGCTTAAGCCTGAATCTTTCCATAGAGGAAAGAAATAACAGGGGTGATGAATGTGTTGTCCGTCTCTGTTCCTGTGAAATAACTTTCATAGGATGTAGCCCAATGAGATAGCCAAACGAGACTGCCAGTTGTGTTCTTTGACAGCTGAAGGATTTCTCTGAATATTTCTGGTACTGACAGCATCTGCTTCCCTCAGACACTGGACTAGCCATGGTGAGGCTCTGTGTGCTTCCTTCAGCAGATGGATGTAGAAGTCCTGAGCTTGCAGCCTTCTTGTTAGAGATGTGGAAGTGGTTTAACTGGAGGAGTGCAGTATAACTAAAAATCAATACACTTGCTGTCTGAGCTGTGATTTACAGAGACGAGCTCCCTCAGTTTTGCTGAAGTATTTTGTATTATGTGGGGCTGAAGACTTCGGTCTCACCCGATCTTTCAGTCCTGATCTTTCTATAACCTTATTCCCAGTAGAAGAGATGGCTAAGCCAATACCTAATTCACTTGGGAGATTTGGGGTGGTTTTTTGTTATTGGGGTTTTTTTTCCCCTCTTGCTTGCTATGTTAAGTGTTTAATACAGCTTAGGAGAAGCTTTGTTTCCTCTGGGTATTTTTTTGGTGTAGCAAAGGAGACAGACATGCTGTAATTCATGCTTTGTGATTTGAATGGTGCAAATTGAGCAAAGATGAAATTCTGAATGAGTGTTCTAGAAAATTATTTCTGCTTTCTAGAACCTATTTTTCATAAATGCACTTAAATTTACTTTGGGAATGTTAATGTAAGCTGTACTGGGTGATGAGCTTATTTTGGAGATAAGGTTTTAAAAGATTTGCTTGGAATGTTTAGGTGTTCTGTTAAACTCTAGATCTTAGTCTTTGTTCTGTGTTCCTAATGTTTGTGTTGGGATGGGGTGGAGGTGGACTAGTAATTCACAATTCACAAGTTAGTGACAAGATATTTACTGATTACATTTATTTTCCCATAGGGATAAAGAAATGGAGAAGAGCTTTGAAGTAGTAAAATACAAAACTAGAGGTAGGGATGAGGTCTCAAAAAACCAGGCACTTAAACTTCAGCTAGACAACCAGTATGCTGTGCTTGGGGATCAGTAAAGCTGCACACACATTACAATTAAGGAATGCTTTTTTTGGTAACCCTTCTACTAAGGTAACTAAACTACAGCTAACAGCTATGATGAACGTGCCACCTTATTTCTGCTGGATCTACTGCAGCAAGTGCAGACTGCTTTGACATAAGTGATTGGTTCTCCTGCACTATGGAAGCATAATATGTTGCAACTTCTCCATTGGATATGGGGCAAATTAATGTAAATGATTGAACAAGAGTCATCAGTGTGCTTTAATTGCTCAGAAAGATACCTACAGCCAGTGGTCATTTCAAAATCTTTTTATGTTCAGATACTGAGCCTTCGTAAAGGTTGACTACCTCAGACTTGATGCACTCATTGTGGACACCATGTGGATCACAACTTCTGGAAGAGAAGGTTACAGCTGTTTTAGTGGCCATCTGAAACTTGAAACCAGCTCTACTGGATTCCTGTCAGAAATCCTGCAGAAGTCAGCCATTTGGTTCCAATTTGCTATAACAAAGATTTAAGTGACCTTAATGACAAACCTGTTCGTTCCCCTTCTGAGGAATCCTGTCACGTGTAGCCATAGCCTACTAGAGACTTCTGGAGCGTCCCATACCACTCACACTATCCAAGTACAACAGAGCTGTAGTTTGTTTACCTTTCTAGAGTGCTGTACGGAAGTAACTGCAAAACAAATTAAAACTCACTCAGTATCAGATTGGAGGAATGATGGGTTTGAATGGTTTGTTTGCATTAGCCATTTTCTAAGTTGTCTAAGTGGTTTTTTTTTTCTATTATCCACAAAAGAAATGCCTGCCTTGTTTCTGATATGGATTTGCAGTATATTTAAATAATGGTAAAATGTAGTGAATTAGGGTTTTATTTTGGTTTTTGTCATGAAGTTTGTCTTTCTCACCCTAAAGCACTAAGAGTTTTGATTTGACACAGAGGTATCCAGACTCCAACTACAGTCTTGAGAATTTGTCCTTTAATAATGAGACATGTGGCAGTAGCGATGCTAGATAAAAACTGTCTTCTATCAAAAACAATTATTTGTTTATTGAGGAGTGATGCTTATTTGATAAACAGAATAACTTAATATACAGAGAGATAACTAAAGCTGGTAAGCCTGATTTGTTTGGCTACTTCTGTGAAGCGTGCAGCTGTCTGAGGCAGCAGTCCTCCAAATATAAATGGTGTTTATTCACAGTCAGAAAGTAATGATGGAAGGCAGTGACTTCTTAAAGTTACTTAATTTAGTGTAAGTAGGCAAAATGGCACTGGTACACGAGGAATATAGGACATTGCCTGTAACTGTTTCAGTGAGCCAAACCTGTCAAGTACCAGAAGTGTTCTGCTGTAACTGTTTTTCTCTTCTCTGAATTTTTACACCAGAAGCAAAATGAAGTACAATAGTGGTGTGCTCCAGTGTTGAGGTTTCTCAGAGTAAATGCCAAAAAATAGACCCAACATCCACAAGTGTTGCCAATGGCAAGAAAAACAAGGGAACAAAACAAAGCTTGCTTACGTGTGTCAGAGTACTGTGTATGTGCAGAAGATAAGGATAGTTCAGGAATCACCCGGTTGGGTTCCCTTTGACTAACTGCTGACTTGCTTTAAATTTACTTCTCTGAGGTCAATGCAGATTTTGCTGCTGACTTCAGTGGGGCTGGGGTTTCACCTGGTTCTTTTGAGCACAGACTAAAACTGGCCTTGCCCTTGCAGAGTTAACTGTCCATAAAAATTCTCCTAGAAGCTGCTATTAAAGAGAGGGCTCAAGAGACTATTCCTAAAGTTGGAGACTTCATTTGGAAACAAAACCCCACTGAAAGACTGATACCAATACCTTGGACTCTGAGCCATGTATCTTTCTTGAAAATCCATTGTTGCCAGCAAAAGTGTTGTTGTCACAATTTCTGTGGAATTCATGGTAAATGGACATGTCACTTGATGGGGTAGAGATGTGAAGTCTTATGCTTTTCCTGATGCTCTAAAGAGATGTCAATCACTAATGCACATGAACAGAGTTTTAGTCTCCTTTGTGAAGGGTAGATGAGACTGTCCATTGTACCACCTTTATTTGAGGTTTTTGGGCATGAATCCTGGCAGTTCAAGAAAACCCTGTAAAAGTTTCAAATCAAATAAAATGGAAATATACATGGATTCTGGAGTCTAGTGAGTCTTTACATTTTAGTTTGAGCTCATGACTGTACAATAGCAGAGGAAACAGAGCATTTGGATCTCTTCAGGGATAGGTCTTGGAGCGGACAGTTGTCCTTACAGTAAGGTGGGCTTTGTTTCAGAGCTTATAGCAGTGCATATCAATAAAACTGTTATTCATATGTAGAGGTTTAGTTTGCTTCTTGGCACAGTGTCTTCTTGCTCCCACCACAGAGGACTGGTTTGAGATTGTGAGTGAGTATGAATGAAGCTTTGATTTGCATTTCACTTACAAGTACCTCTACTAAATTAAAGAATGGGGGGAAAAAAACTGCAACCTCTGCATGGCTGCTATCACTGGACTCCATCAGGTACTGATAACTAAAGGTGTTCCTTTGGGGGCTTCTCTCAAGCATATCATTCCAGTTTCTTTCTGGAGGCATAAGGAAAAAGAGATCTGAAATGCAGCAGATTTCCATAGTACAGAACATTAAAGTGTTTTAAAAGAAGTGTTTCTTGTGTTAAGTATAGCTGCCAGCAGCTATCAAAATGCCAGTTGTCAGTATCTGCCTTGTAATTGCTCTGCATGCCTGAAATTTTGAGTCAGTTCTCTGCAGAGGCTCGGTACACTTCGGAGACTCTTGAAGCCCAGCGTTATCCTGGTTTTTTTGTTGCTTTCATTCGAGGAATGCAAATAATGTCCTTTTCATTCCTTCAAAATGTTTGTTGAAGGCTTATTCCATAAATGAAGGGTTGTCAGTTGTAGAAGTGAGATTCTTGATGCCAGTCCATATAATGGAGCTGTGTGGTGCTTCAGGGACTCCCTGGCATGTGACATGCTTTTATGGTGGGTTGCTTGTTAATTCCCAATTTAAAGGTTCAGTTTTACTTTCTCTGTCTTACAATAAAACATGGCCATAAAGTTACCAATTTGCTGGTAGAACATGGACATGTCCAGCACTTACTGGGAAAAGAACAGTTTGGATTTGTGTTTCTCAGTGATAGTCTGTATTTAAGGATGTTCAAATGCTAAAAAGCAGGTAATTTTAATAAAGCTGGACTTCCCAAATGCCTACTGTAGGTATCTGGAATATGTATTTACTTGAGCTGATGATAAATACAGGAGAAGATTAGTTTTGCCCTGCCCTTCTCTCTCAGTTCAGCTGTGTCATGTTCAATCGTATTCACAAATGAAGAGGAACTGACAATTAAAAGTGACTGCGTCCTGTACAAAACTACTTCAGTTTTGTATTTGTGGCTAGCTTTACCAGTCATGTCCACAGTAACCTAGATGAATTTTTAATGGTAGCAGTTGTGCTAGAGGGCTCACACCACAGGGAATAGGGCTTTTGGTATTTGACTGCATGTGCCAGCTCTTGGAAACTGACCACACCATGGCTGAGACCCCTGTGTTCAGGTCAAGTAAACACAGTATAAATTCGATTGGGCTGCACGTCTTTGGAGTTTGCTTATCTGAGCTCTTGCAATAGTTGTAGCTTTTTGCCTTTCTAATTTCTGCCTGTTTGAGCAGTTTTAAACTTGCTTGTGGTGTTCTTTCAAATACCCTAACTAAAATGGAGCAGGAACTAATACAGCTTCATGTGCTTAAATAAGGTTGCTTACTTACAAGGTAGTAATATTCTCTGCATTATTGACATGGTCAGAAATTTATACCTCATTGGCCCAAGAAGCTAAATTATACCAAGACCACCTTGAGTACTGTATAATTTTTATGAACAGCCATGATCCAGGTTTTGTTGCTGGACTGTAACTTTGTTCCCAAATTCTCTCTCCCTGTTTTCAGCTTTTAATGTTACAACTTGTTTTTAGTGTTAAATAGGGGCTTTTATGAGGCAGTATAAGAAAAGAATAAGTGTACTCAAACTTCAGGTATCTGAATTAGGTATGTACAGAGGGGATGAAATCTGAGATGTATTTGCAGATAAACTCCAGAAAAAGTTAAAAAGACAGTTTGTCTTTATTGAGGTTAATACAAGAGCCTGCAAGCTCTGGGAGTTGGAGGAAGAAGTGACAGCAGAAAACAGAACTGAGGAGTCTAAGTCATTACAATTGTGTATCTAAAGTTTGGCTTCTCAGGCATCACCTGTAGTTCTGCCATGTTCTGTTTGAAGTGACATAGAGCAGAAAGGAAGATTAATAAATAAATAGGGAGAGTGGAAATAATGCAAATAAAACACAGGTGCTGTAAGAAGAGAGGGATTAGGAGGGCTGTTTTCTAAATGATGGCTTTAAGTGCATAGCCTGAGGGAGTGGAGTGTCAGATGTTGGATAGTACAAGTGCTGTGTGGGTAGGCACTGCTTGCACATGTGACAGATTCATCTGACTTTAAATCAGCAAAAATGTTTAAAGTTCAATACTTGGGGAAGGCAGCACATTTTATTTCTTCCTTTCAACGAACTGGGAGAATGGGTTCAGAGAGAAGGTAGGATTTTGCATTAGTATGAAGCTGACCTGTTGCCTAAAGAGAGAACTGAGGACAAATTTCAAGATGGCTCAACAATCCTCTTAGGAAATAAATTGTGTATTTAAGAAAATTATTTTTCACTTCTGCATGATTAAAGGCTGAGACATTGTTTCAAATAGCTATGAAGACTTTTTTTTTTTATGAAGTAACTTCTAAATGGTACATACATCATGGGTTTCTCTTCAGTTGCTTAAGAGTATGTGTTGATGCAGCAAGGTTAATGAAGTTCAGTGTTCACTTCAGCTAAGTTCTGCATAGCCAGAATACAAATACTAAAAACATATCACAGTATTAATGAGTCACCAGGAAAAGCAGTATGTCTGGAATATTGGATTGGAAAGTGTCATCTAAAACAACTGTGTGCACTGAAAAGAAGCCAAGCCCATTTCTGAGCAAGAGCATGGGAAGCATGGGACCAAGAGAGTGGGATTTGGCCTAGGTTTTCTACTGAGCTGCTATGTTCAAATAATTTAGTTTCACTTTGCCTCAGTTTCCCCAGCTGTACCAAAATAACCAACAACCTACCTCACAGGGATGTTGTGAGGCCAAAGCTGTTCTTTGTCAAGGGCTGGGGCTGATGGAAGGTTCTACAGAGGACTAAAAATCTTTATTAAAATTAGCTTTTATTATAGTATTTTAATACTACTTTGGCAAAGGCTTATTTCTATGGAATGTAATATACGTCCTATTTAAGTATTATGTAATTTGACTTATTTTAGTATGTATAAGGAAAAAGTTCAGACTGAGCACTCAACTGGTATTTCCTCTATTCAATTATCTGTGCAACCCAAATGGCATATTAATGTGAGGTTCTTTGTTTTTATGTGGATCATATTAAAACCAATATTGCTTTATTTTGTAAACCCCATGACTGAAATAAAATCCTGCTCACAGTTGATAGCCATTTCTTATAATGTGGCTGTTTTAAAGTTTGTTCAAATCATGTGAACCAGAAATGTTCACTCCTGATACTAAGGGTATTTTTCCATAGGAATGTGTTTTTCTTCTCCTCTCCATGTGTAAACGCTTTTTCCTGCTCTTTATTCTTTCCCTTACTTAAGTTGAAGTGGCATGCAGATACAAGGGAAATAGGAAGAGAGAATAATCTTCAAAATTTGTAAAAGCTGGTATTAAGGCAAATTGTAGAGGAAGGGAATGAAAAAAGGGAAATAGTTGGCCATGGAGGGGGTTTTATTAAATAAAGGGAAGAAACTATCAAAAACTTAGGTGTGAGTGGGATAAGCAGCATAGGTAAGAGGAAGGAATACAGATACAGCAGAGGCAATTATTGTACTTATTATCTGCTGATTTATCAGTTAGCTGCAGCTGAAGTAACATGAAGCAGTAACTTACAAATACGCCTTTGTCTGCTTTTGCTGGTGATTTCAAGGTTCATTGCTCAGCTTTTACAATGGAGCTTCAAACAGAACCAGAGAACAACACTATGGTGGCCTGCATGCAGACAAATGAGAGCTCTGGTGGGTCCTGGACAGAGATGAGGCCTTCTCTTATTGACATTTTTATCATTGCAGCACCTCTAAGACAGTTGTTATTGTGTACCAGCTGTGACAGTTCTCTGTCAGAAATGATTACTGTTAAACTTCAACAAACTGTGGCAGTAGCTTCAGAGAAAATGTTTAACTAGCTGAAGAATAAGCACTGAAGAATAACATGGGGCTTTTTGGAATACTTATGGTGATGATGGTAACGAGTGAAATTAAGGTTCATATATTTATTGGTAGGTGATTAAAATGACTTTCAAATACGTATCTTACATGGTGGGAAGGAGAATTGCTTTTAAGATGTTTGTCATCTATCCCCCTATTAACAAATAAACTACCTTAGTTTTACTGTCCTTCCAGCTCCAAGGAGCTGCTTCTTCCATTCTCTTACCATTTTCCTGCCTTATTTTTCTAATATGTCACTTTTTTTAAGGTGCTGAAGAAACAGCAAATATTCATTGAGATTATCACCGCTAAGAGAAATGGATGCTGTAATATTTTTCTGTATTGTTCTGTCTTTAATACAGCCTAACAACTTATTCGCTTTCTTGACTGCAACTACACAGTGAGCAGATGTCTTCATCAAGCTGCCCCTGGTGATGCCTAGATCGTCCCCTTGAAAGATCACAACTAATTCAGACTCATGTCACAACTTCTACCAGAGCATGTATGAGTGGTTTGAAACCTTTCCAGTATTTATTGCCTTGGTTTTTCCTGTTGACAACTCACCTGCCCCTGATTTGCCAAATTTAGAGTAATTTAGAATATCCTGTCAATCACCATCAACCCAGTAACTTCCATGGGGATTGGCTTTTGCCATTTGATGTACTGAAGTCTTCAGTATCATGTATATAATCCACTCTTCTAGTCAGTGAGTAGCATGGCAAGCTCTTACTAATTTTTGCTCAATCTGATGTTTTCTATTCCTTTTCATGTCTCCTGTCTTCTGTACTGAATTTCCATTCTAGCTCAGTTACAGCAATGAAGTCATCACATTACATCTGTCTGCTTTATT